ATATCGTGCATCCCTACTTGTAAGAGACGTTGGGCTAGAGGTTGGGCAGGAAGGTAATGAAAATCCAAGCAGAAGACTAGAAAGGAGAAGCTTGATCAGAGAGAGACGTGAAAAACAGGATATATCTTTAAATGATCCAGCAGCTTAGCTTAGGGTCGAATTATGAAGAAACTGAGCACTGCCTGGATTTCAAATGACCAGGCAGCCTGGATTTCAAAAGACTGGTCTGCAGCTCCAAATTTGGTGCTTGAAAGAAGTAACTGCAACATCCTGCTCATCATATGGGTACGGGAGGTTGGTATCCTAGAGAGGATACAAATGGAGACAGACCAATAGCAGAGGAAGTGTGATAATTATGTGCATATTCGACCCAAGGCAACTGAGTACTAAATGATGTTGGGTGTGAACTCAGGCAGCAGAGGGATTCCTCAAACTTCTGGTTAAAGTGTTCGGATTGACCATATGTTTGGGAATAAAAACCTGAACTGAGAGCAGTATTAGCCACCAAAGAAGAACAAAACTCCTACAAGACCTCTGTCCGACAAGATTTCACATGGGAATCGATTAAGGCAGGAACCATGCTAAGTAAGGAGCTGAGCTGTCTCAAGGAAGGATAGAAGTCAACAAAGAGAGATGAGATGGGAGGCTTTCGAGTAGCGTTCGATTATAGAGAGGATGCTGGTGAGACTCTTAGATGGTGGTAGTCCAGCAATGAAATCCAGGGCAATATGAGATCTCGGACGTTTAAGAAAAGGCAATGGCTAAAGAAGAGCACTAGATGACTACAATATGTTGAAGACCACCAGAGAGTTGTTTTTAGGGGTGTGACAGTTCAGTTGATTCCAGGGTGGCAAGAGAATTTTGCAGAGTAGGGCAAGTGAATGAGGCAAGGTTTACAGGAAATGTTTCTGTTTCATATTATGTATTCAAGGAATGAAAAAGGCTTTAATCCTGTAAAAAGTAAATTAGTGATTAGTTTGGAACGTGCATGGATGCTCCGTTCTTTAGACCAAAGACGAGAATAACCTGAAAATTCTCATTCATAACCAAACTGGGCTCTGCGATGGTATGGGTTTGTACCAGTTCCCCTGGCAAAGCTCAGCTATGGTGGCATCTAGTGGCATGTTTTTCTGACAGTAGGCTGACAGGAAATAGGGCATGAGAGAGGGGGAGAGACATCTGCAAAGGACCACAGGTCGTCGATGACTAAGGCCTTAGTACATGGGTTGTGCGCAATAACCACTGCGCCACCTACACGCCATGGTGGCAGCCTTAATGCAAAAAGTACAGCAGAGGTTCAAGAGCAAGCTGTCTTCGAGACAACTTTTATTTCAAAGAAAATCCATGCATTTTTAAAAAGAATCTGCATAACTATATTCTGCATGCAAATGAAAGAGATGGCCGCTGGAGAAATGTGTTCAGGTGCTGGAATGGCTTACCACCCAGCCCCCGGTGGGGAAACTAGAGAATTTTGAAGCAAAACGTATGATGCTGCTTTTTTATGGCTAAACATCTAATAATATAGCTAGAGTAAGTTTAAACTAAAAATGTCTAATTTTTTGTTACAGGCTTTAGTAGCTTTTTTAATTACATAAATTACTCTAAAATTAATAATGCTTTCAAAGTTTATAATTATAATTTTATTAATATAAAAAAAGAGTAATGCAGTTTCATATATAAGTAAGACAATTTGTCTTTCATTGTTTATACAACAAATTATTTCAGTAAAAAAAAAAAATTATGGAAACAATAAACTTATGTAAATCTTCCCTTATCAAATTATACTTAAATGCTTAAATTAATGAATTCATGATTCAGTACATCTGCAATAATATAAAGATACATTTTCTCCTCAGGCTGTAGAGAAATTACATGCTTTGTTCAGCTATACATGTTTGCATATCTGAACATATTTTTTCCCTTAGTTTGTTTAGTAACAGAGCCTCAGATTTTTGTAAATATTCTTTAAGCTATTTTTCATATCACAAAACTGATACAAATACACTGGAATCAATGACATAAATACAGCAGTTTAGAAGCAGATGAAGTGCATTAAGATGACATTTTAAAATACATTTTTAGCTTGATGGAAAAAATGCTTCTTCTCACCATATTTAAATGACCAGCCTTGCTAATACAGAGAAATTATGAAAGAGTTTAAGTTATTTTGAATCCAATTGGCAAAAAAATTGACTTTTGTAGTTGTGTTGCTGCTTGTTTTGTCAGGAAAAGTCACTAAATATTGGAAATATCAACAAATACCTAGCTTTTAACACTAGATAATAGCATGAAAACACAGAAACCAACTAATATCTAATAAATCTGAGCACTTTGATTTTCTGGGGCGAGTTCAGGTTTATCTCAGAGACAAGCAACAAATTTATGTTTGGCAGTCAGACTTGCTACTGTACATTTCGCTCAAAAGCTTAAATAATCTTTCCTGTTATCTTTAAATTTGACATAAAAAATGAAGAGATAAATGGGCAAGTTACTCTTAAAGAGATGATCATTGTAATGTATCCCTGAGGTATATGAGGGGCCAAAATGTATCATGAAAGACATATATATGTGAATAACCCCTTAAAGAAATTACATACGATGACTTTTTAGATGGTAAATTTTAAAATTCAAATATTACAGTAAATACACTTTGACATTGTAAAAGGTACAATAAAATAATTAAATGTCCCATTAAATGCTTAAAAATACAATTAAAATGATGTATTAAATGTAATTATGAAAAATAATTGTACCCTATTTTTGTATAAAATTATAGAGTGAAATGTATCTTTAAAGGGTCAATAGTCTGTTAGTTTTGGGTTTACAGGCTAAAGGTTTGGGTAAGGTTTGGTAAACCGTGAAAAGGTTAAAGTTACAAATTTTTCATTAAAACAAAATGACCATCCACAGAACGTCTTTAGTGGTGGAAAAATAATGATTCAGTTATCCACAGAAAATGGCATAGAATACAAATAATTGTTACAGTCCAAAATATATTAATATATACTTTTGGATATGATGCCGAGTGACAATTTGACATAATAATAGATTTAGTAACAGTGTTACTAAACAGTTTTTCTTCATAAAAGACATTAAGTGCTTTTCTACAAGGGTTTTAATTTGTCCATGTGAGAAGTTGGACATTTTAGTTTTGATTAAAGGCAGAGTTTTGGAGCAGGAACATTCTGCTTGGTGAACACACTCTAGACCTCATAGATGTTATACTATAGTTTACTGTACACTGGTGTTCCACCAACCTTCACATTATTCTGTGTTTTTTTTTTAGTTGATTTTCAGACGCAGTTTATGTCAGCGGGTTGAAACTTGAAATCCTGTTCTAAACTAAGATGGCTAAAGCAGGGTGACATCATTCCTCTGGACCAACCGATTTATCTGATCTCCTCCTATTGCTTCAAGAAGATTGGTTAGATTTTAGAATTCTGTCAAAATATTGTTGATGGGAACAACAGAACAACCATTTTGCTAAGGAATAAGATTTCTCTTGTTCTCTTAAGTTAAGGTAATATCCTTATTTTTTTCACCGAACCCAAACTTAAACACCTAACTTTAGTTTTTACTTTAAAGTTTTACAATCAATACAGTTACAAAAAAGATAAAAGTAAAATCTGACAGCAGAATAAAGAATCTGTGGATGAGCTGTTTCTCAATCTTGACATCTAGACTTTAATCAACTATAGCAGGTACCTTCCTAATCCCATCCTGGGACCAACTGTGTTTCTTTTACCATCAATATGTACAGTGAAGTTAGTTTGAATTATTTTTTTTAACCCTTTATGAAACTTGCATATAGTTTCTTTATTTATTGACTGTATTTTCTTTTTTCCTCTTTTTAATATATTGACATTTTATTGTACAACTTGTGCTTTTTTCAGGGACAACAGATGAAAACCAAATAAATAGATAAAAACAAAGACAGATCCTCTTCATACACTGGGAAGCAGATACACGTCATACTAACCTATGTGTCCAGGTAATGGAGAGTGCGGCCTCGGCAGGGTGGGGGAAGTACTGGTCAGAATGAGACTCTTCCGGTTACTGGTTCTACAACTGGAACAAGAACAAAGAGCAATAAGTATTTATCCTGAGTACTTCAGTCTAGGGCTGAAACAATCGGATAAATCGTGATTTATTGATTATTAAAATAATCGTCTACTAACATTTTAGTTTCACCTTCTTTAATTTTGTAAAAGGTCTTCTTTTGAGGAACGTTTTGCTATCTGATTATTAATAAATTAATCTAAAAAAAATTATTGACAGATTAGTCCAAACTCACATCCATCATGGACAACACCTCTCACCCCCTGAACCAGACTGTAGAGGAGCTGAGCAGCTCCTTTAGTCAAAGACATAGACACCCTGTCTGTAAGAAAGAGCGCTACACAGGTCATTCATTCCTGCTGCCACCAGACTCTATAATAATGCACTATAACCACAATAACTCCTGTAAAAACCACTCTGCAGCTACATTATAGTTTTTTTATTTGTTGACTGTGCAATATTCTGTGCAAGATGCTGACTGTGCAATATATGTGAAAAAAATAGTCATACCACTACCTCACCGTTGTCTAGAGGTGAGTATTGGCATAAGTGTTGCGATTCGATACATGCCGCAATACTTGAGTCACGATACGATATTATCACGATATTGCAGTATCACTATATATTGCCATATTTTCCCCAGCTATCAAAATCAAATGATGAGATAAAACAGCAAGCGCTGTATATTTTCATCAGAAAATATTGATTAGGTATTATTATCCACGTTGTTTGGGGTTTTCTTCCACTGTGACTGCCTCAAACACAGATTTGGTGCTGCACGCACAGTTAAAAGGCTCCACAGCGCTTTCTGCCAGAGTGGTGGTGGAGAGGTAGCCCATTTTCCCATCAATGTTTTATGTAACCATTTTTTTTTTTTTTTGAAAATCGACACTAAGAAGTGAAAGATCGATATTATATTGGGCAGCCGAATATCACGATATATCGCCAAAACGATTATTTCCCTTACCTATTACACTTTAACGTAAAAGTAAACCCACCTATATATAAGCCATCCGGATTGTACATATGTCACCTCAAATCTCTACTACTCCCTTGTATTTTATTTTTTTTATTTCTTATCTTGATTTTGTTTTTCATTAAGTGTGATACATGTACACTTGCACCTTAATCCTTATTTATCTTGATATACTGTATATACCTGGATATACTGTATATATTAGGGGTGTGGGAAATTATCGTTTTGGCGATATATCGT